GGGGTGGACTCAGTCGTGATCAGACAGGACTCGGTCGTGGTCAGGGTGGACTCAGTCGTGGTCAGGGTGGACTCGGTCGTGGTGGACTTGGTCGTGGTCGGGGTGGACTCACTTGTGGTTGGGATGGACTCAGTTGTGGTCGGGGTGGACGTGGTCAGGGTGGACTTAGTTGTAGTTGAAGTGGAGGACACTGAAGCAGCAGAGGCAGATGCCCCTGAGAGTTCATCCTTCTCTTGAGGGTTGTGGGGGCAATGGAGTTAGACAGACTTGGGTTCAAATCCCAGCTCTCTCACTTCCTGGCTGTATGGCCTAGTGAAAATCACTCAGTTTCTCTGAGCTTTAGTTTATCTTCAAAACAGGGGGACTAATATCTACGTGGTAGGATTATTCTAAGGATTAAATGAGACAATGTGTGTGAAACTGCCTGGCCCTTGTATGCTCTTGTGACCACTCACCATTGCTATTATCTCATCAGTTACTCTGTGGAAGAGAGATAACTCAGGTGCTGCTGCCCCGGAGTCCTGGGAAGCAGGTAGGGGCAAGGTAAGGGGTGAGGGTGAGGTCTCAGCAGGGAGTATAACCTGTCTGCCAGAGCACTGGGAGGCCTGGGCTGCGGGCTCATGGGGTCAACAGTTGAAATGAAGCCTCTCCCCTCCCCCTCTTGCCCAGGTGAGGTTCTCTGCTGGGAGGCCTGGAGCCTGAGGGTGAGCATGAGGCCCTGGGAAGAGGCGCTAGTGGCCGATGGAGTAGGCCCCTGAATCCGTGGACTGCTTCTCCTCTGTGGTCTGGTCACTGGGGTACACTGGGTTGGCCGAGGCTGCGACCTTCAGCATTGTCTCGTTCACCTGTAGGCAGAAGGTCTGGCATTATCATGCTCTATGGGCAAGGTCCTCCTGTTGACCCCGTTGCCAGATACGGCAGTAAGGGCCCACATCCTGGACAGTGGGGGAGCTAGAGCGAGCTGTGTGCGCCCAAGACTTTCCACATGCCTTGAGGGAACATAGAAACCTAAGCCAATCCACAGTAAGGTCTGTCCTGGCCCAGAAATGGAAAGAAGATGATGAGCGAGTGGGGATGTTGACAGCAGCGACCCACAGAGCCCCGAAGTGTCTCTGCAGAGCCTAGTCTTGGCAAAATCAGCTCTTGTCTGGACCCCAAATATGCACTGAGGCCCAATGAACTCCCCTTCAGAACCCGACAGGTGAGCCACTGAGGGTCCCCAGGTACAGCACCCCCTTCGGCACTCCCCTCTGCTTCCTGCATGCTCACCTCCTCAAACTTCTTGGCTTTGTACTGGTCGGCACCCTTGAGGAAGTTGAGCAGGATGATGTCACAGAGGACGGTCCCCTGGAGGAGGAGAAGCAGGGTGGGCTCTGAAGGCTGCCTGGGGTGGGTGGAGCAGGGTGGTAGGGAGGCAGGGGCAGCAGGCAGGACTTCCCTTGGGCAGACAGCATGCAAGGGGTCTGGGGTGTCCTGCAGAATGTCTTCATGACCCGCCTTCTCAGCTCCTGGGGTGACCCTAGACCATGATATGGATGGGGACGTGGAAGCAGAAGTCCCTGGGGAGAAGGGCTATGTCCCCGCCTTGCCAGCCAGGCTTCTCAGGAGTGTGGACACCCTGGAGCCTCTTCTTGCACCTTCACGGTGAGAAACAGGACCTTGTAACAGTTGGAGCCTCCTGAAAACGGAGAGCTTGCTTTGGGAGGTAATGAGCTCTCCATGATTCGAGGTATTCAAGCCAGGGCTGACCCAGTAGGGAGGTGGTGGAGACTGAAGCACTTGCCAAGGGGTTGGACTTTCACATTCTAGACAGAAGCAGGACTTACCCTACTCACTTCCCTGCCCACCTGTGCCAGCCTGGGCTTCGGAGCTGAACTCTGGGCCCCACCCTCTCTGGCCTCCTGTCGGAGGCTGGCAGGACCTGAACTCACCACTCCCACGGAGGTAAAGGCTGCCACGGCGCTGATGATGGTGGGGATGATGTTGAATTTGCCAGCCTATGTGCACAAAGACCAACGTGAGTGGGCAGAGGTGCAGCAGGGCAGGCCTGGAGCCTAGGGCTGAACTTGAACTCTCAGCCTGAGAGACTGTGAAGTTGGAGGGGTTCTTGGTGGGTCAGCATGTCCCGTACCTTCGTGGTACAGGTGAGGAGTCGGGAGATGTGATCTGCTGAGGATCTCAAAACTGGTCAGTGGCAGAATTATGTCGCCAGAAGAGCCCCTTCAGGGCCCAGGAGCTGGTCCGTGTCACCCCCCTGTGCACCTCATTGCCCGGCCCAAGAACTCACGTTCCCGTATACCAGCACATCGAAGCGGATGCCGAAAGCCTTCAAGAGCGTGCGGTACTCACTGCCGTTCTCCATCTTGTAGTACTTGGCAAACCTGGAGGCCAGAGGCGAAGGTGGGTCCCGCTGTGGGTTCCTGTCCCTTCTGCTTGAACCTTCAGGGCCTTCTAGAGCCCTGTGATTCTCAGGTACCGAGTGCCCCTTACGGATGGCTTGGTCATACACCTGCTATGGGGCACCCGTGTGGTCAGCTGACCTCCTGCACGGATCTTATTAAAAAGGTAGATTCCCAGGCCCCACCCTAAATCCATGGAATCAGCATCTCTGGTGGCGCCCAGGAACCCACCTTTTAAATAATCTCCCTGAATGGTTCTGATGTGCACTAAAGTTTGAACGACTGCCGGACTCCAAATGTCTTAAGCTCTATCTGTCTGGGTGTCTCAGGGCCCATTACTGTAGGATCTCCCCTCCCCATAGGCTCCTCACCCACCTGGGTTCAAATCCTGGCTCTGCCACTTCCAGCTGTGCAACCCTGGGCCAGTTACTTAACCTCTCTGAATCTCAGTTCCAAATCTGTGAGTGGCAATAATATAAAAGTCCTGCTTCATAGGGTCACCAAGAGATGTGAATGAAACCACACACGTCAGGTATTTAGAATGGTACCTGGAACACAGCAAGCACTCGGAAAATGTTTGTTGATGCTGGCTATTATTATCACCACGGAATACATTTGCATTTATAAACCAGTTGCTGTTGAGTCGATTCATGGCGACCCCATGTGTGTCAGAATAGAATTGTGCTCCATAAGGTTGTCAATGGCTGATTTTTCAGGAGTAGATGGCCAGGCCTTTCTTCTGCAGTGCTTCTGGGTGGGCTGGAACCACCAGCTTTTTGGCTAGTAGCCCAGTGCATTAACCATTTGTACCACCCAGGGACATTCAGGCACCTCATCTCATTTCACCCTTGCAACAGGCCTGTGGGATAGGGATGTGACTGCTGTTTTTCAAATGAGGCTCCAAGAGGGTTAAGGCACTTGTCCCAGGTGACCCAACTGGCTGGGACTCAAAGCTAGATTAGTCCAAGTCCAAGGCTTGTTCTGCCATACCTTCCTTGCCTCGGCTGCTGGTGTCAAGCACCGTGGTGGGGGAATTTATAAGAATTGTCACATTTAATTCTCACCATTACACGAGCATCCATGCTCCTATTTTGAAAATGCCCGTGGTGGCAAAGGGACTTGCCTCTAGCTTCACAGTTAGGAAGTGCTGGACCTGGGCTTTAAATTGTATTAGTCTTTGGCACCTAAAGGTTGGTGCTCGAACCTACTCAGCAGGGCCGTGGAAGAAAGGCCTGGCGATCTGCTTCCGTAAAGACTTCAGTCAGGAAAACTTCATGGAGCAGCTTTACCTGTAATGCATGTGGTCGCCATGAGTCGAATCAACTCAATAGCAACAGTCTGGTTTTGGTTTTGGCTTCTAACCCGTTTGCACCACCCAGGGACTGCCTAAGATCTGAAAGCATTTCTATGTTCGGTGTTCTGTCTCTGACATTTGGAGAACTCGAGGCCCTTGTCTCAGAGAGGTGGCAACTGATGCCCATGGGGCTGGGAGGGGGTGGGAGGGCAGGTCACAGATGTTTGGGGCAGGGCTGAGGCCGGGCCTGGAGTCCTGAAGTCTGCTTTCCCGGGCCAAAGCTGCCACCAGGAAAAATGCTCTGCCATCGACTTGGAGAACAAAAAGTCTGCATCCTGGGCACTGGCGTTCAAAGTGAGGGCTGGCTAAATTTATCCAGGGAAGGAATGTGAAGCGAACAGGGAGAAAAATCAAAGTGGACTTGGTTTTTCTCCAGCACCTGCCTTCCAAGAGGCAATAAGCATGGTAAGATCATTATCTCACCACCCACCCACCCTCGGAGGAGGCTTGGCAGGGACTGGTTCTCCTCCCAGGCGGGGCGGGCAGGCAGGCGGGAGGGAGGAGGAACAGAACTCGGGGAGAGGGAGGGCCCAGGCTACAGACAGGGGAAGGACCCAAGACTTCTAAACTTCCAATGTGGCTGGTGGAGATCTTAGAAGCTGGCCCAGCCCTGTGGCAGAGACTTGCTTGGTGGTCTCCAAAGGCTAGGTTATCAGGAGATAAGTCTTGGCACGTGGTAGACCACAGTTCCCAGCCCCCTTGCATCTAATAGGGCCCTGTAACTAGTTCTTGCCAACAGAATGTAAATGGAAGCGAGGGTTGGTACTTCCAGGCTGCGCTGGTTAAGGGCAGTGGACCTTCTTCATGCTCTCTCTTTGCTTACCTGATGGTCAGCTCTGAGAGTAACTGAGGCCCTAGGGGAGACTGAGTCAATAGGTGGAAGGAGACCAGATCTCTGAATGCCTGTAAGGAGCAGAACTCCTTCCCCACCCCCACTGGTCCTCAGTGGACTGTACCATGAGCAAGAAATAAACCTTTGTGTTAAGCCATTGAAATGTGGGGGTTGTTAGTTGCAGCAGCTAGTGATGCTAATCCTGACTGTATGAGGCATTGGTAGTTCAGTGGGAGAATTCTCCCCTTCCATGCAGGAAACCCGGGTCCAATTCTCAGCCAATGAACTTCAAGTGTAGCTACCACCCATCTGTCAGTGTGTGTTGCTATGATGCTGAACAGGTTTCAGCGAAGCTTCCAGACCAAGATGGATTAGGAAGAAAGGACTGGTGATATACTGAAAATCAGCCAAAGAAAACCCTATGGATCACAACTACCTGATCAGCAACTGGTCATGGGGATGGTGCAGGAGCAGGCAGTGTTTCGTTCTGTTGTACACGGGGTCGCCATGCGCTGGGGGCTGACTCCACGGCAGCTAATAACCACAAAACAATCCTGACTGTTACAAAAATCCCATAGTTTTATAGCTGAGAAAACTGAAGCTTAGTGATTTGCTGAAGGCCATACAATGAGTTAAAACTGAGGAGTCCCTCAGGATTGGACAGTGAGGGCACTTGCTCATGATTCTGTATTTCTAGCAATAAGCCCTCTAGGAAAGTCCTAGGAGATATGGGTTTGGTTCCCAGGGCCGCCATTAACTAGATTTTGACCTTGAACAACTTCTCTGAGATTTTTACCTCATCTGAAAAATGTGAGTAAAAAGAGCTGTGGGGATGACGCTATGAGATGGTACCCAGCATAATCAGTGTTCTAAATGTCCCTTTTTGAGTCCACTCAGACGTACCTCAGAAGAAAGGCCTGGCAATCTACTTCCAAAAAATCAGCCATTGAAAACCCAATGAAGCACAGTTCTACTCTGACACACGCGGGTCACCATGAGTCGGTGTTAACTTGACGGCAACTGGTTTGGTGTATTGTTTTTTTTTTTTTCCTTTCTTATCCTAAGATAAGGATAAAAAGAAATAGTAATATCTACATTGCCTAATACTTGCTGTGGGCCAGGCATGATGCTGGTAGATTTCCATGTTGGCCTCATTTAATCCCCACAACAATCCGTGAGGTAGGTCTCATCATGTTCATTTCACAGAGAAGGAAACTGAGGCTTAGTAACTAACATGGTTAGGAAGTAGTACCATCAGGACCAATTGCCTCCAGTGCCCATGCCCCTAACCACAACACCCTTCTGCCTCCTGGAGATAGTAATATTAGGAACAACAGCAGCCACCATTCACTGAGTGCTTACCAAGTGCTGGGCACTGTGCTAAGTGATTTCCATGTATTAAATCATTTAATCCTCACAGCAACCCCATGGAGTTAAGCAGCACTGCCATTTGGTTTTACAGATGAGGAATCTAGGCTAAGGTTAAGCAACCTGTCTAAGGCCACAAAACCAACAGAGAGTGAAGCTGGGATTCCATCCCAGGCACCAGAGCCCACACATTTAACCAGTATTGTAGACTCTTCCTTTTGCTGCCTGATTTCTATTAGGTCCTGGCTCATTTCTTTCAGGTCTGCAGCTTGGGGCTGTGCTACGTTTGCCAGGTGGGTCTCAGTACCCAGAGTCGTTAGCTGGGAAAAGAACAGGAAGCACAGGTTCTAATCCCTGGAGACACTACATGGTGTCAGACGAGGGACCCCTACTCCTCTTATCTGAAAAAGCAAAGGGCTGAGCTACACCAAGTCCGTGCCCTGATTTTTCCCAAATCCTCTGATTCTTACCTCTCCGGCTTTGGTTTTTCTTGGCTGGAAAATGGGGTTGGTGAGAATGACGCCCCCATTAAATGCCTTAGCCTGGAATATAAGCCCTCCCCAAACCTGGCCCAGTCCACCTTCCTCGCCTCATCTGTGGAAACCTCCTTCCTGCCATGCACCTCAAGTTCTAGCCACACCCCACTGCTCGCCTTCCTGTATTTCCCGCAGGCACTTCTTAGACGTAGACTTCTATGCCTCTGCCCATACTGGTCCCCCCTCCCAGAATGCCCTCATCCCCTTTCTCCACCTTGCAAACTCCTAGTCACCCATTAGGGCCTAGCTCAGAGGGCCTCTCATTCATTCAACATTCAAAGTAGAGCACATCTGCTATATGCCAGGCACTGTGCCAGCACAACTGATACTTTGGTGACCTCTACTTTCATGACAGAGCCCTGGTGGCCAAGTGGTTAAGTGCTCGATTGCTAACTGAAAGGTCAGTCATTTGAACCCACCAGCTGCTCCACAGGGGAAAGATGTGGCAGTTGGCTTCCATAAATAGTATAGCCTTGGAAATCCTATGGGACAGTGCCACTTTGCCCTATATGGCCACTGTGAATCGTGGTATAGGGTGGAGTAGGTACAGGGGTGGGGTACTCTCATGAGAGGGACAGAAATATTATCCAACCACACAATCCCATCAGAGATAAGGGCTGCAATAGAGAGGAATATTCTAAGAACACATTTAGCGAAGACATTCAGCCTAGGCTGGAGGGTCAAGGAAGGTCCCTGGGTGCCAAATGGTTTACACTTGACTACTAACCTAAAGGTTGGCAGGTCGAACCCATCCAGTGGTGCTGCAGAAGAAAGGCCTGGTGATCTGCTTACGTAAAGATTACAGCCAAGAAAACCTTATGGAGCAGTTCTACTTTATAACACATGGTGTCACCATGAGTCAGAATCGACTTGATGACAATAGGTTTTTTTG